TGAACAATCCTTTATATTTAATTTGTTGTAGGTTTTAAATAGAAAGTTATCTCCTAAATGAATTGAGTAAAAATATATATTATATATATATATATATATATATATATATATATTATTAATATATATATATATATAATATATATATATATATAAAAGGGTAGCTTTAAGGTGGCATTAAGCTAGCTTTAATTCATTTATCTACAGAAATTACTTAGTCTTCAATAGGGTGATAAGATATTTAAATTGTTTATATAAGTGAAATTACGAACTAGTACATCTTTAATTGTAACTGCTTTTCACATAGTTAAGTTACTTACCTGCTTTAACTTTTAAGGTTGAAATAAGTTATTCTAGGGAATCTACACATATACTGCTATATATGATAATTTATGTAACTGTATTTATGTGTACCTGAATAAATTTACTTACTAACTGAAGCTTATAACAGAAGATGGTGCGGGAATATCGACAAGATTGTATGACTGAAAAACTGAATAAAGGTTCCAGTTATAGTTTTTGTGTCCTTATCATCTCCATATTGGATCTTACAAAGCCTAGTAAAAGTCTATGCGTTCCTTAAGTAGGCTGCACCGGTGCTGAAAGTATGAAGCCGATAGGTAGAGATATTCTCAAGCAACAGCACTAAAACAAATAACTAAATTGTTAAACAAAATCAGCAAAATTGGAACCTACGCCTTACACACCATTCTAAACATTTTTTTAACTACAGCACCTTTCAAGGTAACTTAGGGAAGTGAAAGGCTCTTTATCCAAACAACTGTAGCTCCCCTCCCTTTCCTTGGATCAAATGTGATTATCACCCATTCCCCCACGACTCTTGCGAACTTAGCGCTCCCCTCGTGAAATGAATCAAACGCATGGGAGACACTGTTGTAGATGGCATAGAAACTAAGTTTTGGAGTAACAAGATTAAATGATAATTGGGGCAGTAACTGAATTGTGTATAGAAAAACGTTTGATAATAGGAAAGACATATTTTAAGAAAAAAAAATAAGTACACAAGATACGACATAGTAAATAATAACTGCAGCTTGTTAGAAAATGCATTATTGAAAAAATATAGCTGGGTAGCCATGTGAATGTGTATGTTTTTTACAGGGGTGATAGATATACCAGATCATTATTTAGTGGTAGCTATAGTGGGGGTAAGAGGTAGATGGGCATAAGGTAAATAAAGAGATATTTATGGTAAAACATAAGCAACTATTACAAGACAGGTGAGGCTACAGATAATACAGGTTAAGAGAGAATCGGAAAAGTGAGATGTAGATTTCAGGACGCAGTGTTAAGTGTACAGGAGAGGTTTGTGGGTGTAGAAGAGTGGATGCAAGTGGTAAGAGAAATAGTTAGTGAAATGATGAGGTAAAGGGGGAGAGAGGCAGAAAAACAACATATGACAAGTTTTTACAATGTAAAGTGATATACGGAGAGAAAAAAAGGGTTTAAAAAAATGGTAAGGGAGTGCAAAATGGAATCCAATAAAAGAATTTGGGGGAGGCTTTATCAACAATTTTCTGAGAAAAAGAAAAAGTTTTTGGAGTTAGATTTAAAAATTTAGAAGTCTAGGAAACAAATAAATTCAGTAGCTAAAAGCAAAAGAAGGGAGATATTGGATGGGGAGGTGGAAGGGAAAATTTTCAGCTCTTAATGTTCACGAACGGAAGGAGTGATTTCATGCACTGGGCAGGGAGGTATAACATCTTGTAGGAGGAAGAGGCAGATGAAGGGAGATGCGAAGTTTGAGAACATGTGTGGTATTGATATAAGCAAAGAATTTGGAGCTGAAATATACCTCCCCATGCACACCCGGATATATACACGAGAGGGATATCACTCATTGTATATACACCGAGAGTTTTCTTTCTAAACCTATATTAAGAAAAGTATCCCTTTACTTAGCGAAACAGTTTTATATCAGCTTAATGACCCCATGTGGTTGATACGCTCTAAACCCCATTTACCAACCACCTCCAAGTATATGTACCCCGTGCACACAGTAAGGACGGACATACACATCAGAAAAAAATAATAGAAATGTTATTATGTGTATAAATACTCGTGACCTTGAATAGCAGCTAAACCGGCTCGATCAATTACCAAGTCATGATTATATGAAATACTCTCCGTATTAAGTGTAAACACAAGGCGTGTGATCGCTGGCTCAGGCAACTGAAGTTGAATGATTTCTCAAGTAATTTTCAACATTCTTAGTGAGTTTCTTTACGTGTTTTCACCAAACAGCGCTGAGGTAATTGGATAATTCTATTTTACAAACTTCAAAGTTAAAAGTATATTCTATAACATGAATTTTTATCTTCTATTAAATTTAGTAATTTTTTTTACTCTTAAGGGAAAATGTCACTTTATATTAACGAAAGTATAGAAATTTTATTTTATTTACTAAAAAAATATTTTACCTGTGTAGTTCATGATCGAAACCGTTTGTTCTTTCCCCTTCATGTCGAGTCGATATATTCATGCATATATAATATGTTTATAATATATATATATATTATATAATATTATAATAAAAATTTATATATATATAATATATATATATATGTCGTGCGAAAAAGTAAAACTGGTCAATTAGCAGAACTCATTTAAAATTAAATCCTTTCTAAAAAAATTTTCATTTATGTTTTAATTAAAATTACAATTTGCTCAAAGAATCTGAAAGCTTACCTAAAAACTTATTATAAAACGCAATTTTACTTTAGCCTATCCCAACTAAATACATTTTAGATACGTTTACAATAATTTTAAAACTAAACACAGTGAAAATATTTTTTGTTAGGTAAAAAATGATTTTGCGAATTATCATACCCAAAATTTTCACTTGTCCTAATGGCAAGATGACGTTGCTATTTAAGCAAGATGCAAGTTCGCTATCGGCACGATATATATAATATATATATATATAAATATATAAATATATTAAATATATATATATATATATATATATATATATATATCATTATTTTAATTATTTTTAAATGAATTTTAACCTATGATACATTAATTAAATTTAGGAAAAGGTAAAGTAAGTTAGGTTCATTATAGCAAGGTTACCTTGCGTTCAATACATTGAGTACGAAGTTTTCTAAAAAGGTCTCATATCGGCACTTTGTATCTTTTCTTCAGAAATCACCAGCTGTGAGCCAGTTCTCTTTATATTGTTAAACATAGGGCAGTGTGGTGGTCATAGTATTTGACATAATAGTAGTGTGCATAGCAGAGTAATATAATAGTGTGGTGTGGTGTAGAAGTAGTGTGGAGGAATTATCATAAATGTTATTGGTGGTGGTACTTAACGAATTAGTAGTATTAAGCAGTGTAGAAGTGGTGTGGTATTGGCAATAGTATTAGTATAAGTGGTATTGGAATAGTATTATTATAATACTATATATTGAGGAAGCCTAAATCTGAGGGATCATACAGTGTTAAGGAATGGGAGGAAATCAAATTTTATTTTAGAAACGAGAAGGTAGCTCCAATGCTTGAGTAAAGCTCTTCTGAAAGAGAAGTTAAAACTTAGCGCACAGGGAGTTTTAATATTCACAGGTAACGTTATCTGGTAATTATTCTTAGAAATTAAAAAA